AACCACTGCCCGTCAAACAGACAGCTTGCCGGCTCAGCTTACCATTCAGGAGGCACCATGCTTCCATCCATATCCCAGAACGTGTTTTTGCCGTTCATTTCGGTGGTGTATATGACCCATCGGTGACGGCCTGCGAGGAAGAAGATCGTTTTTTGACGCATGTGCACAGAACACCAAGAAGACACTGTGTTCCAACACAGCAGCGACGCGCTTGGGATGGCATCCTGGCGCACTAATCACAGAACAGGGATCAGGCTGTGTGTGTGTGGGGGGGGGGGCAACCTTTTCACAGCGGAGAATCCTTGCTTCTCCCCAACATCCTGACAGAGAAATGAGCAAAGAGGGTAGGCACATGTCCTGTCGGCCCAGGGCACTCCCAGAAAAACACAGTTCTTCAGTGATCAGAGCCAAGATGTATTCGCAACACTACATGTGAATTCTAGGTTTCTAAGTAAATCAAAACCAACAAAGAAACCACGTGATCCTTTGGAAATGTATGAAACTTACATAATAGGGGAGTACTATATAAATGATGGTCAGGTACAGGACAGTTCACGTCATCCAAACAGCATGGCTGCGTTATTTGACTTACCAAGTATCTGTGAAATGAGTGGGGCGGCCTACCTACTGTTTCCAAGGCTGGAGAAAACTAGACAGTCAAGTGCTTACCCTGCACTTCAGGACCCGAGTTTGGTCTCCAGAACTCACATAATAAAATAAATAAGTAAATACATAAATGCCAGGCATGGTGGTAGGTGCATATAGTACTGACTCAGTCAGAGATAGGTGGGCCCCTAGGGCAAACCGGCTGGCCAGCCTGGCCTACTTGGTGAGTTCCAGGCCAATGAAAGGGAAAAAGGTGAAGGTGAATGGTACCTGAGGAATGATAGGCAAGGTTGTCCTCTGGCCTGCACACCCACACATCAACATAGTACACATACACTCTCAACGTAGTACACACATATACACACTCACATAATATAGTCCACATACACTCTCAACATAGTACACACACACACACACTCTCAACATAGTATACACAGACACACACACAATATAGTCCACATACACTCTCAACGTAGTACACACACACACAGACACACACCCAAATAGTACACACACTCTCTCAACATAGTACATATATACACAAATACACACACACACAACATAGTACACACATACACAGACAAATACACACACATACCCAATATAGTCCATACACACTCTCAACATAGTACACACACACAGACAACACACACACACACACACACACACACACACACACACACACACACACGCTCCCCACAAGCACTCACACTTTCCATCAGGTCCACTGGCAGGACAGCTGAGTTCAAGACCAGAGTGACTGGCACAGAAAGCACACATTATAAAAAGAGAAGAACTGATAACCGCACAGGAACTATAATCCAGCCAGGCAGGGGACTGTCAAGGCTGATGGAATGGACCATGGGAAAGGTTTAATAAATTAGGCCTTGGCAATAGATTTATACCCTGACAGAGCTGACCCTTAGCAATCTCAAATAGGACATCCATTTTTAAAATGTTGAAAGCCAGGGCTGGAGACAAGGTTCAGCAGTTAAGGGCACTTGCTGCTCTTACAGGGGCTTTGCCTCAGTTTCCAGTGTCCACACAATGGCTCACAGTCATTCGTAACTCCAGTTCCTGGTATCTGATACCTTCTTCTGGCCTCCATAGACACCAGGCATGAATGTGGTGTACAGACATGCATGCAGGCAAACCATTCATACCCATTAAGTCTAAGAAAATTATTTTGATATTGAAAGTCCATGTTCACGCTTAGCAACTCCACTTCTAGGAATTTGTTTTTAGACTATTTAAAGAATTATTGATTTTTATTTTATGTGTATGAGTGTCTTGTCTGCATGTATATACATGCACCACATATGTGCCTGGTTCCCATGGAGGCCAGAAGGGGGCATCAGATTCCCCTGGAACTGGGGTTGTAGACAGCTCCCACGTGGATACTATGAAAGGAACCCAAGTCCTCTGAGAGAGCAGCAAGCACTCTTAATCACAGAGCTATCTCTCTACCCCCCACCATTAAAAAGTCTTTAAAATATACATAGGCTAAAGTATTAAGAGAGAAGGAAAATTACGAGGGCCAGTGAGACGGCAGCGGGAAAAGGTGCTTGTGGCCAAGTGTGAGGACCAGAGTTCAATCACTGCATCCCACACTGTGGAAGGAGAGAAAAGACTCCCACAAGCTGTCCTCTGACCTTCCCATGTGCACCGTGGGACTCAAACACCCACACATAAAAATAAGTAAGTACAGCCGGGCAGTGGTGGCACGTGTCTTTAATCCCAGCACTCGGGAGGCAGAGCCAGGTGGATCTCTGTGAGTTCGAGGCCAGCCTGGGCTACAGAGTGAGTTCCAGGAAAGGCGCAAGCTACACAGAGAAACCCTGTCTCGAAAAACCAAAAGAAAAAACAAAGTGATTTAAAAAAAAAGTAAGTACATAAATGTAATTAAAAACATAAAGAGGCCAGGCGGTGGTGGTGCATGCCTTTAATCCCAGCACTCGGGAGGCAGAGGCAGGCGGATCTCTGTGAGTTTGAGGCCAGCCTGGGCTACGAAGTGAGTTCCAGGAAAGGCGCAAAGCTACACAGAGAAACCCTGTCTCAGGAAAAAAATAAATAAAGAGGCGAAATAGAGTAAATTTACAACAGAAGTCACTTTGCACTTTTTTCTTTTTCTTTTTTACCTCTGTATTTAAGAGTTGAACCTGGGGCTGGAGAGATGGCTCAGTGGTTAGGAGCACTGACTGCTCTTCCAGAGGTCCTGAGTTCAATTCCCAGCAACCACATGGTGGCTCACAACCACTTGTAATGAGATCTGGTGCCCTCTTCT